GAGGACCTACCTTTTCATTGAAGCTCTTATACTTGGTCTCACAGAAGGTCCAATGGAAGATTATGGTGCAGATTGGACAAGATGTTGTTTAATTCCCCTTTTCTGGGTGTTTATGATTCAATTCATATCAATCATCTCAATAAAGCCTTCTCTGATCATACTCCTATTCTGGTACAATGTAAGAATCAGTTAAAAGGGGGTCCTAAAGCATTTAAATTTGAGAATATGTGAGTTTGTCATCTTAATTTCTTGAATGTGGTTAAGAGTTCGTGGGATTCTTGTAAGTCTGGGGTGGTATGAGGGGATTGTATGATAAATTACAATCTCTTAAGAAGGTTTTGAAGGAGTGAAATAAAACTTCCTTTGGTAACATATTTAAATACATCAAAAAGTTGGAAGAGGCTAAGATATTAATGAGACATTCTTAAACCTTAGGTTATACGGAGTACGTTCGAAATTTTGTTATTGAGACCTTATATATGATATTTTGATTTGTTGGGATGTTTTCATACCATAATCTTAGGAAAATTTATTTGGATTGTTGTTGGTCTATACAGTGACTCTGCCCTCAATTTGAGGCGAATTGTATCTGCAATATTCATATGTTGTTGCCTAAAAAGGTGAATGCTATATATGAAAAATGCTTGGTGTACACATTTTAGTGTACACTTTTTGTACATTCGTCTGTTTTTTTTTTTTTTTTTTTTGTACATTCGTCTGTACGCACACAGAATTGTCTGTCCACAGACAATTCAATAGAGTTGTCTATAGACAGACAAATTTGAGTGCGTGAGACAGACGAATGTACAAAAGATATTGTTGGGATATATTATCCCGACCTATTACTGTTCAGGAGCCCAAGACATTACTCAGTACGGAGCCTGAGCAGCTAGGCCCATTTCGGCCCATCCGGCCCACTTTAGCCATTTGGGTCCACTCCGGCCCATGCGGCCCATTAGGGTGGAGAGCATCCCCTTCCCCTATTCTCTATAAATATGGGAGTTTCCCTCCATATTATGGATCCCTTCTTAGCTTCTTCTTCCTTATTTCTCTCTAGCTAGCTCAATACTCCATTAATGGGAGCTTGTACATTGTAATAGTGAGGAGAGTCCTAATCAGAAAGAGAGGGCTTGGACATTAGCCTAAAAAGTCCCGTGGTTTTTCCTTTTCGGGTTTCCACGTAAAAACTGAGCTTGTTCATACACATTTATACATATATTTACTATATCGTGTTGGATTAAACTCAACACTGGCGCCGTCTGTGGGAATCAGTTCAAAAAGATTAACGTATTCTTGATTTTTCTACGAAAAATCTGAGGCAAAGAACTGGTTTTCAACAAAAAAAAATTGATACCAGACGAACTGGTTTCAACAAAAACGAAGAAAAATGATTCTGGGGAGTTGACTTTCAGCAAGAACAAGGGGAAAGAATAGGAGCTCCATGGCAAAGGCAGTTTTCTCTTCCCACGTGGGTTGGTGAAGGTGACAAGATTGGTGAAATGATTTGAGGGGCCCACAGTGGCGGATCCAGGATAAAAATTTGTTGGGGGCATACTTAAATAAAAATGCGTCAGAAAAAAAATTAATGAAGTGCTAATGAATTACTCATCTGTCACATAAAAAGGTCTCACTTTCCTTTTTGGGACGTCTTATATAAATGTTCTAATCATGGCAATCTTTTAAGAGGTACAACAAGTGTTTGGCACCGATGCCCACTCTCATATGGGCCCCAAATTTAATATGTAGTAATAGTTATAAGTTGATTCTTCTAGATGATATGTATTATTCAGATTTCAAAAGGTACGTGTATAACTTTTAGATTGTCTAATTTATGCACTTCAAACATTATAAAAGTTATATTCCAATGAACTGTCTAGTTTATTTATATTTCATTGTTACATTTTGTATTATTTATTGTTTTAGGGGCCCTCAATTCGCCTTTTGGAACCGGGGCCTCCAAATTCATTAGTCGGCCCCTAGTTTCAATTTTCATTTTAGGAAACAATTGATAATCTCAAACGATAAATTAAACATTAAATATTAAAAATAATACATTTATAACATCATAGTTATCAACATTAACCCTATTATATTATATACCTATAATTTTTTCTCAAAATATACTTGAACAACTTTATTTAGTTATTGTTTAAATAATGGTGGCGTTTTGCCATGAGAATCTTTCAAGGGGATGAGGGTATTTCAGTAACAAAAGTGTTAACAAAATACATCACAATTGTTCACGCTTAGTTTTCATCTTTTGACAGAGATTCATTATAGTTTCATTTGTAACCGTTTCAAACACATCTCTTTCAATGAAAAGAAATGAAATTAAATTGAGAAAAGGGTCATATAGGTCCTCGAACTTAAATAAAAAGGTCAAATAAGTCCATATATAGGAGGCTCTGTCCGGCCATCGTCATTTGGGACGATTCCCGGTGGAATGTTTTGATGAACTTTTGTGAACATCATATTCATTAAGTCTAGTTTACTCATATCAAATTTCAGCTAAAAATTCACTCAGGAAGACATTCAAATTAACTCTTGAAGATAATTGTGCAGTTAAAATCATCTTAACTCATCAATTAAATTAAATCTAATTGATCCTTCCACACGAATTAAATCTAATTGATGTAAATAAATAATCTTATATTAATTTAATAACATTATAATAGTGTAATAACACTTTAAATTTATATTTATAGAAACATTAAAAATTAATGTATGGCCTTAAGCAACTATACAAATAAATTAAACAATACGTAGTATGATAAATACATAAGGACTAAGGAGGATTTAATAACTAAACTTCAAAGGCAACAAATACGGCAAGTCCGTAACTCTCCAAGTCTATATACGGAGTAAAAGATTTATTGATAAAAACATGTAATTAAAACTAAAGTGAATAAACTGAGAAGTCTCATGCCTCTTCCGAGAGTTGGAATCTTTCCGTTTTGGAGTATTCGGGGACGTGGCTTTTTCTCAAATCCGAATTTCAGATTAACCTAACTCAGCTGCAAGAGGAATTGGGTTATAGGGGGCATTTCGATTTTTCTATTGGGGGCAAAATTTTGGCCTTCTAATATTTAGCAAAAAATTACAAAGGTTTATTGGGGGCAGCTGCCCCCCTCTTGGCTTAGTAGATCCGCCCCTGGGGGCCCATGACCCTGTCTTGACTTTTCAATGATGCAAAATTACAAAGCCAACGCCAAGTTGCCGCACGTAGCAATTTTCCTACCTAAGCTAGTCCGTCGGGGAGGGTAGCGCCCGATGAGCAATCCTCATTCCACCTAAGATTAACAAGGCCTAGCTCGCTTCCATGCATGTACATGCGGAAATCAAGGGAAGCATGGCAAGGGACGTACTGCCCCGAACGGGAAATCCGACCAAGCGCTGAGTGTCGATCACCTAATTACACAGGACCCAATTTTGGACGCCATTGAAGCCCAACCAGTAGGATGGCCGCTCGGCTTCTCAAATGAAGCCCGATTGACAATGCACGTCGGGGAACAGTTCGGGCACCATGTAAGCCGGCCGGCATCTGAAGCGTTGCCCAATAATTAAGCCGCTCGCCTCTCAACGCATGTAAGTTTGTGACTGTGGGAACGACGCTCGTCCCCGTACCTTCGACGATCACTCGGTCAGCACTCGGGTAGGAGCAAAGGCCGCCCATGGACACGAGGAGTGGGTTTAGTTTGATCAGTTTCTCAACGAGGTGTACGTATAGTTCGGAGCATTTCATACGCACGTTACATTTTTTCTTGAACAAACGGATTGGAGGGAGCTTGCTGTAACTACTTTGACATGGGGGACGTTCGTCCAACGTGAGGGAAGGACGTCCTACCAGCGCTCCATGCATTCTCTTGGTCCACAATAATTCACAAATCTGACTTTTTTGAGCCCATCTCTGTCCCTATATAAACTAATTTATTGAATCCTATACCAACCATTGTCAAATTAAGAATAGAAATTGGATCACTTGATCACAAGGTAGTTAAGACAAATGTATTGGGTAGTGTTGAAGTTTATTCCTTTTGGGCCAAGGGTCCAACACTCACCCTTGAGATTTCATTGGATTTTAATGGGGAAAACTATCAAATAGGTCCTCGAACTTTCATAAAAAGGTCAATTAAGTCCTTCTATAGGAGGTTCTGCCCGGCCGTCGCGATTTGGGGCAGTTCCCGGTGGAATTTTTTGATGAATTTTTTTGAGAATTTTATTCACCAAGTCTAGTTTACTCATACCAAATTTCAGCTAAAAATTCAATCGGGAACACATTCAAATTAATTCTTGAAGATAACTGCGCATTTTTGCGTTCTCGAATTAATTTGAATGCGCTCCCGATTAAATTTTTAGCTGGAATTTAGTATGAGTAAACTAGACTTGATGAATAAGATGCTCAAAAAATTTCATCAAAAAATTCCACCGGGAACTGCCCCAAATCGCGACGACCGGACAGAGTCTTCTATAGAAGGACTTAATTAACTCTTTTATGAAAGTTCGAGGACCTATTTGACAGTTTTCCCGATTTTAATGGGTCAAGTATACATATTCTAGTGACCTATCTACGTACTAATGAGGCACAAGCAATAGCAAGAAGAGTAGGAAAGTAAAGTGGGCCAATTTTTATCGATGGTTTAAAATGGTTACAACACACTCTTACTAAGTCTAGCCTCGATAGAAGTATATCCTAAGCTGGGAGAATACATAAGAATTAAAATGATAATCCTTCTCTCCGTGAAAATTCTTCTCAGTTACTTATTTGAGATATTACATAAACAAGCATGCTTGTTGTACCCACCACTTTGTACCCACATTATACCCACCTCTATGAAGGCTATTTTTTTTGTCTGTGAAGTCGGTTCACAGACAAAATATGTCTTTGAATTCCTTCACAGACAAAAAAAATAACTTCACAAACATGGGTGGGTACAAAAGAGGGTATAAAAGTGGGTACAAACATCATTTTCCTTACACAAAAATCTTCTGAGCTGGGAGTATTGGGTCCCAAGTCCAACTGAGTCCCACGTATTCTCCACTCCCCAGTGCCTTATCTTCAAACTAGAGAGCAATCTCATCTACAGGAACCCGAAAGCTTATGCAAAAGATTAGTGTTGTAAATGGCATCAACAGGGAATGCTTGTTCCTTACTTATGACTAAAGGGCAACGCCCATTTTCATCTCTCAGACTACCCTCAACTTCTCCAACAATCCCCTTCTGTAATTCCTTCAAACGCGTATTAGGGATTGAAGGGCCCAAACCACGGGCTGTCTATTTATCTTTGAAGGATTTTAAATGCGAATCCGTGGTGGCTGCAGTAGAAGATGAGGTGGGGATACTGGAACCTCGTCCTCACACGCTCCTCTACTCCTTCCTTCCTTCTCCCTGCCTGCTTTTCGCTGCTCTTCCTGCAGGTGATGTTATAGCATGGAATTCTATTTTTTTTATCGGTTAATATTTTTAAAATAGTTTGTGCCCTAATTGGGAGTTTCGATTATTCCAATAAATCTTTTAATTTCTGTTTGGGGGAATCTCTTTCGATTCAAAAAGAAACGAATGTTACCAGCTAACATAGTTCACTTGAAAATAAATTGTTCTTTTGCAAAGTTTCATGACCTATTATAATACTCACTACTTCATCCATTCCTTTTATTTAGCCAAACATCATTTTTGATGTCAAATTTTGACGGATTATATATTTTTATACTGTAATATTAATAACAAAGAACAAATATTTATCACAAGACCAGAAATTTTTTTGCATTTTTTTTAAATCAGGCAGTTTTAATTAAAGTAATTTGTTGGAAGGGCTGAATAGGGCGGCTTAATTCAAACAAATTTACAATAAACGCTTTTGTTGCTGAATTTTTGTTCCCTCTCAATCGTGGTAATTGGGTAATACAAGTACAAATTTCATGAAACAAAGAACCCAGTGGTGGAACCAGGACTCGTGACGCGCAGGGGCACAATAACAAAGAAATCATATACATCACGAATATAGCAATAAACAAATTATAAAATTTAAATAAAACAACTAATTAAAGAGTACCTTAATTTTGATCAGAACCTGATGCGTCAAATAAAGGAGAATAATTGAGAGACGTCAATCTTTGTCTTCGAAGTGTCGTACTCTGAAACCGCTTCATAACACACTTTTCTCAATATAACACACCAAGCAATCGGTCAAGTATTCTTCTCCAATCTTGTTGCGCAAATCATTCTTGATTAACTTCATCATGGAGAAAAATCTTTCAATTGTGGCGGTTGTAACAGGTAAAACCAATGCCAATTGGATGAGCGGTACACTAGCTTATAATATGTGTCACTCTGTTTCAACCAATGTTTTTGTCAAATCTCCAACAATGTCATCATTCGACAATTCAACTTCTATTCGAGTTTTTTTAGCATTAGTCTCATTGTTACGAATGACATAATATTAGTATAATTGTAAAAATTACATCATAACAAATTAACAATGTTCAATAAATCAACGAATCCACAATTATAAATTTACAATATAATTAATATTTTTAATGAGATTATCATAATATAATCGCCAAAAAATGTATCAACAAATCAAAATTACCGTCTAGTACTCTAGTTGGTCAATCTTAAGTTACAAGTTACAAATGAAGCATAAACCATTAATCAATTATCATTCTAATATTCAATCATTCTTCAACAATAAAAATATTAAATATACCCGCAAGATTACAAGACAGTGGTCACTGGTCAGTGGCCGTCGGCATCCCTGAGATGCTCACAGTCGTCGTCGGCCGTCGCTGAGGTGCTCGTAGTCGCCGTCGGCCTTCGTTGAGTTGCTGGAAGTTGCTGGAAGTTGCTGGCTTGCTGTTGCTGTAGACTGATGAGAGTTTGAACCGCCGATTCCGCCGAACTGCCGAAGCGGTACAAGGGCTAAGGGGAAAGGGAAGCTGGGCTTGAGTAGAGCTGTTGAGCCTTAATGGATTAGGCTGCAAGGAAAGAGGGAAGCGGGACTGGACCGGACAGACAAGGGAAAGGGAGAATTGGGATAGGGTTGCAGCCTGCAGGGGCTCTAATTAATAAAAATTAATATATATATATATATATATATATATATATTTAAAAATAATACTCCGTAATAATTCACTGGAGGGGCACGGGCACAGGCACCTCCAGGCTCTAGGGTGGTTCCGAGAGAACCAAGGACACATTCATGGAAAGGAGGTGGTTGTATCTTGACCTGGTTTATTTTCCTATCTTGCGTGTCTGACTTTTTATTGTCAATTGTTGACGTCGATGAAGAGAGAAATCCTTGATAAACGGCATGTTGAATTAAATTATCTTTTACTCCGTATGAGATTTGCTTCAAGAGCTTCATATATCCAAGTCAAAGGCCACATAATTGAGTGCCAAATGTCGGAACCGTTATAAAAATTTTAAATAATGAAATCGGTTCGGTTCTTATGTAAAAAATCAAGAACCGTTATGAAACCGAACCAATACTAAACGGTTTGGTTCTTGCTTTTATCGGTTCCTCGAATAATTTTTTTCTCATCTAGCGAATTAGCACATTATTTGCTTTCTACCACATTAATATGTAAAAAAATCAAAACACAAGTAACTAAGTTTTATTTAAAGTCTTATCACTTCAAACATCAAAGCTCAAACTTAACTTAGTAAACACTTGATACTTGATAGAATAAAAGAGTATTTCAATTTTCGTTCATTTAATAAGTAGATCATAAAAATCTTTGTTATGTGGTAACAATGAAGGTTGGTCATCATCACAATAGGAAGATAAGACGTCCACTTCGAGTCTTTCAAAACTTAAAAAATACAATGACTTTGCGTGTATAGATATAAAAGCATCACCACAATGTGTTTGCTAGTAGTACAATTTACAATAAATCTAATAGTTACAAACTTACAAATACCATGAAGATAGTGAAGTAAAGTATATCCAATCAACTACAAGTTATTTGAGTTATTTTATATTTATAAAATATATGGGATGTAACAAAACTTGATTTGTAAAAATGAGCTTAAGTGCTTAACGCATTCAATCTCATGTGCAATATTGATTACTTTTGTTTTCGTTGGATAAATTTCAATAGTAGGCTACTTGGCTAAATACATTGATTTTACTACTATTGTTATTGTTGATATTATTGCTATTACTATCACTACTACAATTACAATTTTTATTTTTATTTTTTACTAAAACGGTTCCGTGCACATATTTTTTATAGGAACCAGGAATCGAACCGTTAGTAACAACTAGGAACCGAACCGTTAACAACTAATACCACATTTGTAGGAACCGAACTGAACCGAACCAGGTTATAACGGTTCGGTTCCAACGGGTTCTAGGGTTCCCGGTTCCGAAAATCCCACCTCTAACTCTCAATTCACGTGCACATGGCGACAACCCTTTTAAATTTAAAATATACTCTGTATATACTAAATTCTCAATATTTACTAGAATATAAAAATTAATAGAATACTGATAGAGTATTAATTCTAGAGAGAAGTGAGAGCTAGAGAGAGAAAGTGAGTAATTATATTTCTCAACCTCCTATAACTAGCCCCAAGGGGTCTATTTATAGGTAAAAATGTGGATTTGGGCTCCTAGCCATGGGCTTAGGAGGCCCATTACAGTAATCATGCCTTCTTTGGGCGAAATAGGGCCACTAATGGGCTGGGTACAATACTTAGTAAATAAAGTAGAGAGATGTATTCTGCCAGGACGAAGTCTGGCCGATGCGGTGCACTTTGGCCGACGCGGTCCCATGGCCGACGCAGTCCATGGGCCGATGCGGTCCCGGGAGTCCAGATTCATGTTCTGGGCCGGTTTGGTTCGTGGCCGATGCGGGTCCCACTGGGCCGAAGGGGGCCACGTGGAGGTTCTTCCGGCCATCGTTGACTTGAGTATGTGGGCCATGGGGTCCAGGCCCATATATTCTATCAGGAGTCCCCCACTCCCTGAGCTGAGGTGAAGCCGAAGCGAAAGGGAGTACTTTGTTTCCAGGCTGGCCGCTGTGTGAACCTAAGTGCTGGGCTGCCGAAGAGGTTCCACCTTGATTTTTGGACGAAGTGGTTGTTTGGGGACTCATAACCTTGATGTAGGCCAATGCGCTCCCGCGGGAGTGCTCTAAGGACGAAGCGATGCGCTTCTTATTGTAGATGATGCGGTGGCTCCTGGTGGATAAGCTGGCTTGCTTTATCGACGTTTGTTGGGGTCGAGGAGCTCCTATCTATTTTTGGCCGTAGTGATAATCTTGTTTTACGAAGCGTTTTGACTTGTGTGTTCTTGCTTTGGTGAGCCGGCACAGTCCCCCCAGTGTACGTAGCCGTTGCGCGCTAGATTTGTTCGTTGGATTTTTTTTTTTATGTATAATGAATTCCAATCAACCAACCATCCTTTTACATGGCTCCCATAGGGAGTATTTATAGGAGAAAAGAGGGCTGGGCTTCCAGGTTTGGGCCTGGAAGGCCCAGTTACAATAAAAGGCCAATAAATGGCTAATAAATGGTATCTAATCTATTCTAATGGATACATCTGAATAAATAAAGTGTACAAGGAAATAAATGCTATCTACTGAGCATATGTGGGCCGCTGTCCGGGCCGCTGTCTGGGCCCAATAGTCGTGATACCCAGGGTCCGAGTCTATATACTCTATCAGGAGTCCCCCACTCTCTAAGTCGAGAGTACTCGAGGCGAAAGAGAGTAGAACTGTGTGCTGATCTGTCGTCGTCTGGTGAGTAAACTACTGTCGTCGCTGAAGCGCCTCGCCCGGATTCCCAAGCCGATGATCCGATCCCATTGGCGAGCCCTGACCGAGGCAACCCTGTGGGAGAATCCTCCGCCGAAGGTCGCAGACCAGAGACCATCACCACCGGTCTTGAGGCCGGGGAGCTATGTATATGTACTGGCCGATGTGGCAGCTGAATATGTATGTGATATGATGATGTCGTCGGTGTGTGTGGCAATCCTTGCAAAAATTTTGAATTTTTGCTTCTTTGGTAACGGAGGCGCTAAGTCCCGTGCTCTCCCAGTCCCCCACTCCTTGAGGCGAGTGTAATGAGGTGAAGAGGAGTAGAGTAATGCCTGTCTGATGATGTCTTCAATGGGGGCCGAGGGTTGACACCTTTTTATTCATAATGGGGAGATGCCTCGTTAAAAACCTCATTAGGAAAAACCTTGTGGGGAAAAATCCTAATGAGGGAAAAAGAGTGCATCGGATGCCCCCAGAACGAAGCAAAAGGTGCGAGCCCTTCGGCCTAGAGGTGGAGCTGCAGCGGTGTCCGTCTGCCGAGGGGATGGCCGAGGCCGATCCCTAGATGTGGGTAGCTCGTCATGATCGGTGGTCCTAGTCATCAAATAAAGATGACTAAGGGATGGGTCGAGCGACCGTCCATAATATGATGTCTG